AGTTTAATGTTGAAAGTGTGGATGATGTTGTGTCCTCTCACTGCTTAGAGAAAGAAGCCTGGATGTTAAAAGCAGTGCCTCTCATCCTCGTCCTGGACATTTTAGGAACTAGAGGAAGGTATCCCCTCTGGGAGTGATCTGGTGGAGAGAGTGGGAATGTAGACATCCTTCAGATAGAAATGGTAGTTAGGCGCCAAGGGGCTTTGTATGCGATAAGATGGGTTTAAAATTCTGTATGCATTTTACAATGTGACCCCTTTGGCAGTTTTCTGGCTGCAGCATTTTGGATCAGCTGTAAGATTTTTGGGAACGTCGTTTGGCACCTAAATCAAATGACACTGAGATATTCAGGCCAAGCAGTTCCTCAGCATGGCTTCTGGAATGTATACAGCTTTTGATCTGATTTCACAGATGATATTGTACACATCTTATTAAAATACTTATTTAAGATGTGAAGAAAATAACTTGCCTGAATTTATATAAAGTAAGATTTTTTTCATTGAAGATGCAAAATATGTCTACATCCAAAAATCCTAGAGAGGTGTACAAAATTATAATAAAATAAACAGAAAGAACCTACATACCTCAGTGTGGGTTCACATGTCTGATAAAGATGGAATGGGAACATTGATTTAAGATTAACATTTATTTGTTTTAATATTGGTATTACTTGAATCCTTGCACTGTGGCCGTGTTGGTTCAAGTCCAAACGGACAGTTAAATGTTTTATCCATACAAATTCATACAGTTTTGACTTGTTTATGAAGCTTTTGATTTTCATTTAAGCTTCTTTTGTAGTTATAGTTGGTGTGGATTATTTATACTTAAACATTTCAACCAAATATCCAGAAATCTGCTGATTGTAAAACAATGTTCCATGTGGGTGGGCAAGCCCAAAGCCCCTTCTTAGCTTCTTGGGTTAGCTAAGTTAGCTAGTAGCTACATTGGTTCATGTGTTCCAAACGTAACAGCCCCCACCCTAAGCTCCACCTCTTTTCCCATTTTTGGATTGTCTAGTCATGACAATGCATGTGACATGGTCAAAATGTTGGTAGTGGGAACCTCCCATCTGGAAACAACAACAATAATTTGAGCCTATCAACCTTAATTGTCCAGGGTATATGTCGATATGCAGAGTGAGCGACTATGCCGTTTTTTTGTGCAGGTTGCAACAATTCGCGTACTATTTAAAACAGATCATGCGGGGCTTTTCTGGGACTTCATTAGCCTACCCAATGAATTTAATATTAGAGTTTTTTCTTTTTATTTTATGTTCATTCCGGAATTGCGCTGCTCTGGGTGGCTGCATGTTGGAGTAGCTCTGTTGACTATACGTAAGTTTAGCCTTTTCTTGGACATTTTTTCTTCTAGTTTCTCAAGAAAAACTGCATTTTTTTTTGGAAATTTTACTTTTCTGTGTCTGGTGCTGTGAAGCTTGGAGGATTTTAACTGCTATTTTTTCACTTTTTTCACTTTTTTAGCATTTGTCATAATGTGTAACCATGGCAACAAGCTGGTTTACAATCAGGAGCCTCAACTGAAGCCACAAATCCCAAATGAGCTAAAACACGAGAAGCGTGGATGCAGAGTGGGAGCAAAACGGAGACAGAGAAAGAGGAAGTTCAAATGATCTCTTTCATTGATCATAATAGGCAATGTGATATCACTGGCCAACAAGATGGAGGAATTCCAAGCCCTTTCAAGGACTCAGCCAGAGTTTCGGCAGTGCAGTGTTATGTGTTTCACTGAGACGTGGCTGCAGGACCATATCCCCGGTTTCAGCGTCTCCCTGCCAGGATTCCTGACTGTATGAGCAGACCGAGATCTGAAGAGGAGTGGGAAAAGAAAAGGAGGTGGAGTGGCAGTGCTTGTCAACAACAGATGGTGCCATCCAGATCATGTTTCAGTGAAATGTCGTCTCTGCAGCCCAGATGTTGAACTCTTGGCAGTAAATTGTCACCCATATTATTTGCCAAGAGAGTTCACCAGTGTTGTCTTGGCAACTGTTTACATTCCACCTTCAGCCATTGCTGAAAATGCATGTGATGCCATCAGTTCTGTTGTCGATAAGCTACAAACCCAGCACCCCAATGCATTTGTGGCTATGTCTGGTGATTTTAATCATGCCTCACTCTCTGTATACACTTCCAGCATTTCAACAGTTTGTCAGCTGCTCCAGCAGAGAAAACAAGACATTGGATTTGTGTTATGCAAATGTAAAGAATGCATGCATGTCCAAAACAAGTCCTCCTCTGGGACAATCAGATCACAATCTTGTTTTTCTCTGCTCAGAATACGAACCACTTGTTCAGAGGCAACTTGTGACAAGAACTGTGAGAAAATGGTCACAGGATGCTGAAAAAGCCCTGCAGAGTTGTTTTGAGACCACAGATTGGATGACTCTCTGCCAAGGATATGAAGAGGACATCAATGCCATGACTGGATGTGTCACTGACTATATAAACTTCTGCGTGGACAACATCATACCCACCAGAACAGTGAGATGCTTCGCTAATAACAAACCCTGGATCACCAGTGAACTGAAGAATCTGCTAAATGAGAAAAAAGAGCCTTCAAGGAGGGAGACGGGGAATTATTGAGGAGTATACAGAAGCAACTGAAGATCAAGATCAGAGACAGCAAGGAGGCATACAGGAAGAAGCTGGAGAACAAACTACAGAGGAACAATATCAGAGATGTCTGGTCAGGGATGAAGAAGACCATAGGCTTCAAGCAGAGGAAGGATTGCACAGATGGCACCCTGGACACAGCCAATGAACTGAACAAGTTATTCAATAGGTTCAGTTCAGGAACAAACCCAGCATCCTCCTCACCTGTCCCCAGCCAGTCAGACATCCCATCCTCCTCTGATCCAACATTTTCCTGTCACACGCCAGCTCTTTTGTACTCTAACGCAGTCATGGACTCTTCTGGTTCTATAAATCTGTCTTCAACCAAGTCAGGAGATGCTGCTGCCCCAGTTACCTCCCCATCCCACCTATCTGTCTCTAGAAGTCAGGTGAAGAGGCAGCAGGAGAGACTGAACAGGAACAAGGCTGCAGGTTCAGATGGTGTCAGCCCCAGGGTACTGAAGGCCTGTGCAGAGCAGCTCTGTGGGATTCTGCAGCACCTCTTCAACCTCAGCCTGGCCCAGGAGAAGGTTCCAGTCCTATGGAAGACATCCTGCCTTGTTCCAGTTCCAAAGAAAACTCGCCCATCAGTCAATGACGACTACAGACCGGTTGCCCTGACATTTCACACCATGAAGGTCCTAGAGAGACTCCTGTTGGTCCACCTGAATAAGCAAACTAGGACATATCAGGACCCGCTGCAGTTTGCTTATCGCCATGGAGCTGGAGTTGAAGATGCCATCATCCAGCTGCTTCAACCAGCCCACTGTCATCTGGACAAAGCAGGCAGCACTGTGAGGGTCATGTTTGATTTCTCCAGTGCATTTAACACAATCCAGCCTGATGCACTTTGCCAGAAACTCCAGAAGACACAGGTGGGGGCCTCAACTATCGCCTGGATTAAAGACTACCTGACAAACAGACCACAGTTTGTGAGGCTGAAGAACTGCACATCAAACCAGGTGATCAGTAACACAGGAGCACCACAGGGCACTGTACTCCCACCATTCCTTTTCACCCTGTACATCTCAGACTTCCAGTACAAATCAGAGACCTGTCATCTACAGAAATACTCAGATGACTCTGCAGTTGTCGGGTGTATCAGAGATGGACAGGAAGCTGAGTACAGAGAGCTGGTGGAGCGCTTTGTGGCATGGTGTGGAAACAATCATCTGACCTTGAACGTGAACAAAACAAAGGAGATGATTTTAGACTTCAGAAGAAACAGGGTGGAGTCAAACACTGTTTCCATCATGGGAGAAGAAGTGGAGGTGGTTGAGGAATACAAATACCTTGGAGTTCACCTGAACAACAGACTGGACTGGAGAAAGAACAGCGAAGCCGTTTACAAGAAGGGATACAGCAGACTTCACTTCTTGAGGATGCTTAGGTCCTTCAATGTCTGTAGCAAGATCCTGCAGATCTTCTACAAGTCTGGTGTTGAGAGTGTAATCTCTTCAGCCATCGTCTGTTGGGGTAGCAGCATCAGAAGCAGGGACCTGAAAAGGCTCAACAGCCTAATAAAAAAGACTGGTTCTGTTCTGGGGACGACTGCGGAACCGCTGGAGGAGACAATGCAAAGAAGGATTCTCCAGAGAATCAAGAAAATTATGGACAACCCTGAGCATTCTCTTCACAAGATTGTCCGACAACGGAAGAGTGTCTTCAGTCAGAGGCTTCATCAGTTTCGCTGCAACACTGACCGCTACTGGAGATCCTTCCTGCCAGCAGCCATTGTAATATACAACATCTCTTTGATGACTTGATTATTATTATTCTGAGCTACTACAGCAATCAATTTCCCTCTGGGATTCATAAAGTATTTTTGAACTGAATTGAATTGAATGTAGATATTTTCGATTTTGTGAATCAGCATAATAAAATGTGCTTTTTAGCTGGGAAAGCACCTTCGGCAGTGGAAATAAATGCTCTTGGGGCAAATAGACACAAAGATCTATATTAAATATATAATAATGTCTATGCAAATGGAGACCCATCCAAGCACTCCAGTAAGGCAGCGCCAGTCCACGGGGTGTCTACGTATATGATGTCTGTTGATTTGGAGTTGCACTTCCTGATATTTAGACATCTTGCCTCGATCTGGAAAAAAGCAAAGTGACAACCACTAACCACACTGTCTGCTCTGGAACATGGATGTTTTATCTCCACAAATAACAATCCTGGAGGATCTTTAGCCATGTGTTTGAGGGGCTATTGCTAGCAGTTAGCTTCTGTTGAAAGGGATAGCCTTCCCGGACATGAGTTAATATGGGTAAGTCCAATTCACAATGTGACTTAGAGTGGTCAGGCTTTTAAAATCCTAGATGCTAGCTACTAGAAGGAACAAGTTATAAACGCACAAACACAAAGCTATGTCAGTAATTTATTTGTTGGCAAACAACTTTCACTGTTACAACAAATATTAGTTATGAGATCATTCAACTTGGAACCCATAAAAAAAGAATAAATAATTGTCATTAATATTGTAATAATAACCATGATCATAATAATTTAAAGGAAAAAAGAAACCAAAAACAAACCCAGTTCCACGTTTTCATCCATCTGTCTACGGCCAGCTTTCTTTCCTCTAAGCTTGTTTTTTGTTCTTTAAACCAAAAAACAGATAAATAAATAATTTCTCTCTTGGGGGCATGGAAGGGGTTTGTGGGATACATGTGCAAGCTACACTTCATACACTTATTAATCTTCCCTCCTTTATTTAGTAAACATTGGCTTTCCATATTGGACAGTGCTGTCGTGTGCCAGGAGACTTTTCATCTTTAGTTCACCTAAAGGTGAAACTATGACTTTCACAGGTAAGATCTTCTCAATAACAGCTATTTTTATTCTTTCTCCTTTAATAAGATCTGGGAAGGACAATGTGACCATTTAAAAACTTGGCAATAGAGATGACATAATTTATAAAACCTTCTATTTTCCTGACTTAGTCTGTTAGGTCCAACTTTATAATCCAGGCTCCTCCCTGACAGAAACCTCCCCCTTCACCATGAGACAACTTCATTTGATCCCTTTAGTTTTCATTTTACACAGTGGTAAAGTATATAGTAAGAACTTATTTGTAAAATGTGACAGTGGTGTTGCTATAAAAGGACCAGGATGCCGTGTGCGTGGGGTATATGCATAATAATTCAGGAGTGCTTTGTCGTATTTACGAAATAAATGATGACAAAAATTGTTCTTTGCTCCTTCGGCGGTCAGTCCATGACCTGAATATATTGTGACATTTCAGAACAGTTCCCCGAGACAAAAGAAGTCAGAAATTTCAAAAATAAAAGACTTGGTCATATGCAACATTTGTATCTGTATTATGTACAATACATAAAGAGTTTGTGATTTCTCATAATTCCTTGATGACTGAAAACCTTTACAGAAGAGAGGAAAATAAATGCAACCCAACATTTTTTTCTTCCCTCGTTTTAGTTCAGTCAGTTAGAATTAGGTAGGATGTTCTGTCGTTGTTTTCAGTGGAACACACAGCAACCGTAGTCACCGCAACTCGCAGGAATGTTACACCAGCCCAGACACAATTCCAGTTTAGGAGATACAAACAGGAAAATTGTTCAGAACATCGGTGTGATGTGGGCACAGTTGACTGCCTGAACGATATGGGGCTGTAATTGGATGATTGACAGCGAGGACATATATATAATACACCCTTCACTTGATTGGCAGGTAGGTGGTGCCTCTTTGGGGGGAGTTTATATCATGAACACAAGAGTTGAAGGTCCTGCTCTAACTTTCAGAGAGGTGAACACATCATCCAGGTCTTAAAAGTTTGACAGACACGCTGCTCTGGGGCCCCAAGCCCTCCCCGTGTAGCGGTGGAGACTATACGCTAGGATCTGCTAGAAGTCCACAACTGGGATCTTGCAGGGCATTAATCTGTCCAAGATTCCAACCTGAAAGCATTTCGGAATCCCTCCACTTTCCGAGTTAAAACGTCCTGTTTGGTGCTCACGAAGTGTCTTAAAGAACCAGTTATTTTGTTACATTCACTCCTTCCTCCTATTTGACCAGTGACAGCTCAAACGCATCGTCTTTAACCATTGTTCAGATCACACAGTGTATCAATCCAGGGACGGGTCAGCTCCGTCTGCCAGTCAACAACACAGAAAGTCTTCATTGCAACTCTAAAAGTGTGGAATTGGGTTCAAGAGGAACAGAGGTCTCAGTTGGCTCTATAGACTGGTAACAAGGTGAGAAGGGTCCACTGGGGGCTCCTCCGGAGACGAGTCGGACTCCTCTTTGCTCCCAGACACCATATACCCGTCGCTGCCACCGCGGCCCATGTGGTAGTAGTTCTGCAGCTCGTGGAGGTGGTTCCTAGAGCCCAGGTTTGGCATGCTTTTGTAGTAGACATCATCCAGCTCTGGAGCGGTGGCGCTCTTACAGGGCTGAAGCTCCCCGGAGCTGTCCTCCTCTCCGTCTGTTAACCCGTTCATCTGCCCATCCGGGAGGTCCGTCAGCACTGGCATGCTCGTGTACAGCGAGTCTCTGTGGTTTGGCGAGTGTGTGTGCTCATCAGTGTGCTCATTGGTCAGCAGGGGGAAGAAGCTCTCGCTGGGTTCCTGGGCAATGCGCCGCTGCCTGGAGAAGCTGTGAGGAGGAGGCGGAGGTGGGGGGTGGCTGTCTGGCGGGGGAGGCCTTGGCGGCAGGAGCGGCGCGTTGGACTCCTCTCTGATGATCTCCAGACCGAGGTTCTCCTCGTGAGGAAAGGTTGCAGGGTTGTCCAGCACCATGGGGCTGTTGTCCTCTTTACTGCAGCCACCGATCGCACTGCTGCTGCTGCTGCCCCCGGCCAAACTCCCTGAAAGAACCAGGCCCAGATGTTATTACACAACATTTTATA